TGGTTGCTTGGTACCATCTAAATGTAAAATATCTGCATCGCCGGAGCGCGGAAACGCGGCACACCTAGGACCCGACAATGATCTGACACAGCTGCGCTCTTTTCCACCCGCATAAGTCTGTCATCAGACCTGTGGAATGGATCAGATAGCACGAGTGCGAGGCCACGGTGGCGTTCGAGCCTCTACGAAACCAGGCCGGTTTCATCGAGACCCTGCCGCCGTTGATGGTCTCGTAGCTGTAGCGCTGATAGTGGTCGTGCCGCAGAGCGAGACGGAGGAACTCATTTGTCTCCCCCGCAACACGCGCGGCCGAAGCCACCTGGTCGTCGGTGGCTGGAGCGGCCGGGGTCGCATCTGGGTCCTTGCGGGCGCACACAGCGCGCTCCTCGTCCAGTGCGCCTGAAGCCCGTGCGTCAGCGGGCCCGTAGAAGAGTCCCGGATGGCCGTCCACCGGCAGGAAGCTGGCCGCTCTGGGTGGGCGGAAGAGCGGACCGCGCGTCTCGGTCAGAGAGTTCTCCATGGAGGCGCGCGGGTAGAGCCGGCAAAGCCCATCGGCCGACGGCAGCGTCCAGCTGTAGCAGTCGGGGTGGGTGTGGCAGGCGCGTCCGCACTGAAGCCGCGACGTCACGCTGAGCTGGGAGACGGGCCGGCTCGGGGTGGAACGACTCCCGCAGCAAGAACAGCCGACCGCCGCCGGCCGCCAGCGTTAGCAGCAGACTCAGGACCGGCGGCACCAGACGAGAAGGGGACATGGCCACAGAGGACCGACCGGCGGCCGGAGGCGGACAGGTCAGTTAGCAGCGCCGTGAAGCGAAGCGATCACGGCTCCGTGGAAGCGGCCGTGTCTGCGGTTGTGCCGACCACCTCACACTGGTGCACGGGCAGCGCTTGCGGCACGTGGCGCGCATTCATTTTACGATAATGCGCGACATGCCAAACCTGCTCCGAAATGCTTTTAGTACGGTTGTCTATTAGATGAAAGCGTTTTGCTTCATTAAGTAGCCTTTTAGCTATGAACTATAAATCAATAGGCTTTCTCCGGCACTATTGTCTAATCGCCATCAATCCCAAGAAGCAGAGATAGACTGTGCGACGACGTGTGATTTGACAGTGTCGAATACCAAACAAATGCAGGGTATCTGAAAGTTACAAAGTGTCGAGAGCATTTGCGAAGAACATCATTCACGGAGATAAGACTTATTCCTCAGAGGAAAGCCAGAAAAATGGAGATATACATTAATATTTTGGCAGCATGCCTTTATGACAATGAATAACGGAAGTGAGTTCAAAATTACCTACCGATGATTCTACTCGATTTTCCAGGCTTTCTTTGAAACAGCAGGCCACAGTTTTTACAGAACACTAACATTCAGGGCCTCATAATCTTTAGAGGATCTAAAAGTTTTTTAACCGAAACTTAACGCTCAGATGCATGCAATTGTTTGTTCTCCCTGAGAGCATCACATTTTTTTATTCTTCTTATCAACGCATCTCACTATGATGGATTAAGTTAACCCACAAACTTTCGTTTTCGACTCATCCGTTAGAACTCCGCCACTTTATTCTTGGAGCTGTCATGGCGGAAGGGATCGGTGCGGACTGCATATCTCTGTTCAAAGAAAACTGCTTTTTTAATTGAAACTTGAAATCGTTTAATTGTTAAATGGCAACAAGGCGAAAGAAATACCAGGCGGGCTGGAATCGAACGGTGGAATTTTTTATTTTTGAATTTTATTATTTTATTTCTTTATTTATTTTCATTTTTCAGCCGCATGCAGAATTGTTGGAAAATTGTTCTAAAAGCTTGAAGCGTCCTTTATATTAAGTTACCTTCCCTACGAAAATTACTCACCCAAGAGTGAACCCAGGAGAGGTTTTTGGGAAGCATGGCAGCACAGCGCACGGATGTCGAGTGAGTGCGCTACCCTCGCTTGCTTGGCTTAACCCGGACGAGTTTTTCTGCAGTGGTCATAGTTCAGTTTTGTGTCGGGAGTGATTACATTTAGTTGCGTGACGCTTGTTAAATGCAGCTATTATGTCCAGCAGCAATACAGATCGAGTTTGCAGGCGTTTTACTTCACACAGTGCGTTACCGAAATAACTTGGGGAAACAAGTTTGCTGGTAGATGATACCTGAAGATTCCATAAACCAACACAGGTATGGCACCGTACCGCCAAACAATACAATGGCACGTGCATACCCGAAGCCTCATTGAGGTTCGCTGCAGAGTGCTTTTGTAAGCTCAGTCGTTGATAAATATGATTGCAGTTTATAGCTATTTGGTTGCTAGCACGACGTACGACACGAGGACATTTCGGCAAAAGTTTGCTTAATTATGACCAGGGTTTGTTTAAGCCGTTCGTCGCGGTGATGTACCGCCCCCGGCTATCGCATTGCGTAGTCGACCAGTACTGATACAGCGGTGCCCCTCTTCACTGAGCGGCTGAGTCGGCCCCATGAGATCCAAAGCTATGCGCTCAAATGGTCTACCAATGAGAGGCATTCTTCCCAGGGGCACTCTTCTCACCGAGCTCGTGCTTGCGGTGCGTTGGTTTTTGTCGCACGAGCAACAGACACGCCGTACCTCCGTCCCCGCTCCCGGACAGTGAAAACTTGTAAGAATGCTTTGAGTCATTTTCGTCGTCCGCACGTGACCTGCCAACAGAGACTCGTGAGCAATTTTCATGGCATGGGCTCCGAAAGGTCCCGGCACTATCACCTGCTTAATCGATTTTAACCAGTGGGCTCAACGACCGAAACAAGACATCACGGGCCGTTTCGTATCTCAGTCTTCCCGCGCTTCTCGTTAGCTCGTTTTCCTTCATGCAGCCCTCTCAGTGTGGCATCCTCTTGCTGCATCTACCTGAGCCTATCCGCGGACACAGAAGACCCATTCGTCGAATCGCGGGATCCTAGCCGCCCCAGTTCTCTTCTGGCCTGGGCCCTGCCTACGACAGCTCACCAACTCCCGGGCTGATTGTCCTGAGCCTGCTCGCGCCATGTTGGGTGTGGATCATCTGGTGCACGAGCGCCCAGGACCTGTCCAATTATCAAATAATACATTGCATCAGGCAAACACAAAGCTTTCTCCCGCCCTGCTAGGTACTGTGAATCAACACTGCTGTTCTCACCGGTCGGGATGTCGTTACAGCCAAGAACAAAGCGATAAAGAATAAACCCAATCATTCGTCAAAAGTTATTCGGGTTGAGAAGCTAATAAAACAAAAAAACTTTCCGTAAAATTCAGATACTGCAATCGGATTTGGACAGCACCCGAAATTAGATAACTCATAGCAAACATAAATCTCGGGTCCGTCGACTAAACATCCGTGGTACAACGAAGACAGCTGCTGCGATCTTTTCTCTTCCTAGAACCTGGCCTGGTTTCCACTTAGACAAATAGGCAAAATTCAAGGCACAAATTCTGCGTAATTGCCCGCCATTATGGTTCCCCTTTGCTTACATATATACGCACTACGCACCGCCGGCCGTCAAACGCGAACACCCTGCGGATCTCGATACCCGAACTCACGCTGGATGAGAGAGAGGCCGTACTTCATATCGAAGCACACTTTTCACGGTGTGTGCTAATAAACAGCTCCCAGGTGCCCCCCTGAACAGCCCCTTTGTCACCACAGTCGAGCTTCCTGCGATTTACGTGCGACAGAGGGCCGCGTTCATCACTGCATTTGAAAGCCACTGGGAGAGCGCAGCCACGTCCGGGATCATTAGCGCGGAAGAAAGGTTACGAATCTAGGTCCCACTGGCATGGCAACGATCGGAAGGTCAGACCTGTGTGGGCTTCGATGGTCAGACTATCCACTTAGTAGCTGGTTTCTAGTTATCCTGGTAATGATAACCCGCCGCCGGCGGGGCTAAATTCAGCGGAACGCATGCTCCTCATGTTTCACGGAAGTGGCTGTGATCGAGACGCAACTGCATCCTGGATGACATCTCCCCTTTACCATAAGGTATGTCCCCAGCTGGGTTCAGAAACATCCCCACCGTAGTTGAAAGCTGTCCCCAGCTTGAACTCCAACGTCTCTCGCTGTAACTATGATAATGTGCCAGTTATGCCTCGGAACACGCCCTGACAGCCTTCTCAGTAGCGTACGGCTGGGCAAACCCAGAATGCTTTCAGCTGCGCCACGGAAAACTTTCCCAGATTTGTCCTGCATTTGGGGTTGCACCGAGGAAAACGGTCTAGGATGCATCCTGTATTGTCTATGCATCCAGTGCGTCAGTAAACGACCTTGTACTAATGTGCAGTGAGGTCTCAAACGTTCCACCTTCGCGTTCGTGGCTAGTCTTGCTCTACGAAGTACAAACAGCGAACAGCAGCAAACTAACACAAATAAACACAAATATTGGTCAGTGGCTGGCATTTCCCCGTTAAGATCACTTATTCGGCTCTTGACGGTGACAAAGCTCCCAGGCTTCAGTTGGATAATCGCAGTGTCCTTCCATAAAGAGGTTACTGACGACGTGCGAGCTGGTGGTGGTGCGATAAGCGTCACATAGTGTGTGGTCTGGCAGCTTCAAAAGCTAATACGTCAGTCGTGCTACCAGGAAAACCGGACTGAAGAAGCTCAAACGGGTACTAGTAACCCCGACTGACGTTTTACGCGTACGCCTTATGCAGCCACTCAAAACAACCTGATTTACCAGCATTCAGACTAGTTTTGATCACGTTGAAAAGTCCGTCGGTTTTCTCGCGCATCATCTTTGATATTAGGATGGAGGAGCCCTGGAGATCCTTGCAAATCCTTTTCTGTGTGACGTCATATACCAAGAACGCCGCTGTTTCAAACGGAATTATTTTAGCTACTTTTCGATCACTTTAACTTCAAAAAGCCGACCACAACATACGAGACACATATTTTGTAGGTGTCCAATGCGTGTCACATGAGGGCTAGGGTCACGGCGTGAAAATTTTTCTGCTTTCCGTGAAGAATGCGCTGTCACTTGCAGCCGTGGTCTGCGACGAAAGGAGTACATGTTCACACATCTTTGCATTTAATACAAAATTTATTTCGCGACGGCTTACTTCAAGTCGAAAGCAGCTCACGGCGTCCTATATCAAGATACAAGGGAAAATCGAACGGCAATAAACCGGTACTCATCGACTAAATGCTAAAAAAATTCACATTTGATTACCGCTCCATCGGCAAAGAAAACGATAAACACGCCTAGGCCGTACCACGAGAAACTATTAGAATAAGGACACGTGTTACTCAGAAGCGCGCGCCCGGCGAGACGATATCAGCACCGTTCAGTTCTGCGCGCGGAAGCGGGCAGGACGGACCCGCCCGGGTGCCGCGGGGCCCGGCATCGGCGCGGGGCAGCCAATCGGTCGCGGGGCGTGGTCTCGCCGTCGGGCCGCAGCAATAATGGCAGGCGCGGCGAGCACGCTGATTACGCAGACTTCTCCGTCTTGATGTCTGCAACAGAAGGCGCCAGCTCCAGGTTCTGATGCATATCATGCACATCATACCTAGACTGTCATCGGACTTTTTCAAACAAGCAGAACCGCTATGCATCACAATCTCGTGTGCTGTGCGCACAATATCGTGTGGAGAACCAAAGTGCCGCCCGTGGTGAGCATCGAACCCATGATACAGCACTCGAAGTACAAAGGCTCTCACGGTGCTTCGAAGTCTCCTGCCGCAGACACTGAAGGGAGGCTGTGATTTCCGCTGGGAGCGGCGATTGAACAATGCCGAGGACCTTCCAACAATACCCGAGCGAAAGCATCGTAACCAAGCTGTTAGCCGTGAGTTGAGGCATGTTCGGCATGATCCGGAGCTGGCGGGCTAGCGACATTCCTCGGAGTCGCACCGCGGCTAACGGCATTCTTCGTAGGTATGCCGCGGACTAGCGGCATTCTGACGCGCGGTATGGCTGGAATACCCGCAAATCCGACTACAAAACGTTTCATGATTACGGTCAACCGATCAGAACCGCAAAGTCGCAGGCTTATGATGCCCTTGAGACCGCGTCATTGGGCCTGAAACGACTCCGGGCTCCTGCCAACACAGCCTGCGAACACCGCACCCGCAGACGCACCGTCAGCCGTAGGGAGGGGGTTTTTCTCCACGGTGTCGGTGTGTTTCAGCTTGTTGGCGTCGAACTTCTCGATGCCGTCCAAATGCGTCTGCATCGTCTTCTCCTGCTGAATCTCTGAAACGCACCGAATAACGCAATGAGGCTTAGCGAGCAAGGACGGAGATATGGAAGGAAGAGATGTATTACAGTCATCACAGCTGGACGAGGCGGTGCGACTTTAAAGATGAAGGAGCAGTTGCTTCAAATGAAGGCAGACACAAGATGACATCAAACTGGCCACACACACACGCAGGCGTCAGCCCACCTGCTCATACCCACACACCACACAGACCAGCTCACCCACCCATACCCACACGCCACGCGCACCAGCCAAAAGTCTACCCTGCATGAGCATCACAAGGTCATCAGCATGCTGCGCAGCGTTCACACAACGTGACAAAAAACTATCCATCACATCAGTCTTTGTACAAGCACTGCACGCGCTTGTACGAGGCACGGGGAGGTCGACGGACCGCCACATACGACAGAGGGCAGCACGTGTACTTCCGGCCTGTGTCCAGACTCGGAGCATTGGCCGCCTGTAGGTGGCAGCACAGACCGGCGCCCGGCCGCCGAGTACCTTCGGTGCTGGGAAGGTGCGTTTTTTCCGCGGGAGTTACGTTCTTCATGGAGTCCTTGTCAAAGGTCTCGACTCCAGACAGCAGATTCTGGTGCGTCTTCTCCTGCTGCAAGTCTGAGCGAAACAGAAGCCATGCAAAGTAAGCGGTAAGCCTCGAAGCTCTGCGGCAGTGCGCCGTACGGCGGAGCGCCGACACCGTCCCACCAGCGGCAGCACGGCGACAGCCGTCTCCGCACCGAGCTTCGTCTAAGCCAGAAGCTTGCAGCCACTGAAGGCTCGCATCAGTTAGGGAAGTGGGGAAGGCCCACGTTGAAAACGAGGGTAGGCATAAGCGAGTCAAGGAAATAAACAGGCGGATAGCAAAAACAGCCTAGAATCTCATGCACACACAAACGCCGAACAACCCAGGGGTCAAGTGGTGTTGCCGCGTAGCCCATTGACACCCAACCACGTTTGGGTAAGCGTAAATAGTCGAATGGCAAATGGTACAGTTCAAGCCCAAACAAATGTCTGGTCTGCACAAGACACATAAGTCAGTACAACATACGTTAAACGCTTGATCACCGAAAGTCTCAATGCTTAGCAGGAAACGAAATGGCGTGTTTTGAAACAAATCCAGCAAGCTTGTCTGAAAAACTGTTCTCGTCTCCATCATGAGCCTATCACACATTCTAAGCTGACGACATCACAAACCAGATTGTAAATTTCGAACCATACCATATTCTGGACTGATGGTATGAGGTGAAAGTACGGCATTTATACAACATGCACCGTTTGCATGGTCTGATGGCACAAAATGGCATCGTCCGCAACGAGACCGAGATCTGGGCCCATATGCAAACGAAACGTCGATTTCAACCAATTAAACTAGGTTTTCGGCCTAGGTTTTCCTCACGCCTGGGAAATGAGCTTTGCTCGCTGCATGTCAGTGAAAAATACCCGCAGTCCCAGGCATTCACGGGTTTAGCGGATCAGAGCACCACTGCTCCGGAGACAAAGCTTTAATTTGATACCGGAGATCCTGAATGCGACGACTTTTTCCATTTGAGCGTGTTCAAGGAACTGGGACGTCATATTCAGACATGACCTCGTACCCCAACGACGATTACTGGGGACCGGCTCAACCGGCGGCAGATGGGCCAGCGTACCTGAGACGCTGTCAAGAATCGCGCCACCGAAGTCAACACAAGCTGGCTGCAAACCAACTCCATGACGTCACACTGTAGTGTGGTGAGTGGGAGTCCTATCGTCCGCAGACTGATTTCAAGAAATAATTAACTGTACTTCATCCTGAAGTCGCCGCTTCGAGGAGGATAAAGCCATCCTCTCAGGATGTGCCTGCGCCGAGTTACAGGAAGCTTATCATACAGGTAGCAGCGACCTAGCCGCGTGCGCGCGCGCGCCGTATAACTGGTTCACACCGGTGTAAGCACCTGTGGAGCAACAGCGCTGAGCGCTGCAGTGCGGCGCGTCCCGGGACCGTTCAAGACGGTGGGACTTGCCATGAGTCATCGCGGGCGAAAGTCCGACCATGCCTCTGAGTCAGCGGTAGCACACGTCCCAGCGAACCAACCCACGGTGGAGTCGCTGGAAGTCCCTCGTGGTGGGTCACATTACGCCCGTGAGCCCGTGGCGGCGGAGGAGTCGTCGGGAGTCAATCGTGGTAGGTCAGATCACGCCCCTGGCGGCGGTGGAGTCGCCGGGAGTCACTGGTGGTGGGTCAGATTACACCCGTGAGCCCGTGGCGGCGGTGGAGTCGCTGGGAGCCACTCGTGGTAGGTCAGATCACGCCCGTGGCGGCGGTGGAGTCGTCGGGAGTCGCTTGTGGTAGGTCAGATCACGCCCCTGGCGGCGGTGGAGTCGTCGGGAGTCGCTCGTGGTAGGTCAGATCACGCCCCTGGCGGCGGTGGAGTCGTATCGGCGATTATCCGCCGTGTCAACAGCCGCGCTCCACGGACTGTCGAGCTGATCGGGTCCCGCTCCCGGAAGCCCCACCCACGCCTGTTGTTATCTAAATTACAGGGAGCCGCGCGCCGTTAGACCGCCGCCAGCCGGCGCCGAGCCGCCCCACCGGCACGGGCAGAACAGCGCCCGTCCGCCGCCTCCGCTGGCCACGTCACCCGGGCGCCGCGTCGCAAGCTGCACGTGCCAGTGGGGCGGACTGTCGAGTTTCTCGCTTGTCAAATTGTGTTATCACAAATAATTTGAATAAATTCAGCCCGTCATCAATTTGGAAATGACCTGCACGGTGAAATGGCGTCGGTTTTCATGACGTCGCACATATCTATAAATGGCGATACGATAATGATTGCATGCGCTTACGGTTAATTCGCTGGGCTCAATGAAAGGCCTACTCAACCGCAAACAAGCTTAACAAATTCCACCGGGTACAAGTGTAACTGCAGTCCGTACCGGGATTGGAAACTATAGCACCATGCTGACGCCTCAGGAGCGTTCTATGTGACTGCACGACCAAGCGTGTTAGGAAGCAGAACTTAACTGCTTTCTTAGCGTCTAGAGCGACAAAACCGGCCACTCGACTCCGCCGGTGTGCCGGTCGGTCAGCGACCCTCCTATGTCTCTCGCGCGTGTCAGCTCGGCGCAGAGCAGACGCGCACGGGTCGGCTGGCCGGCCTGTCCGCGGCCGCGCACCACCACGCTCTCTCGTGTTAGCGCACTCCACTCGGTTAGCGCCCGTCGCTCGGCCCCCGTTTACCGTCGGGCGACGGCAGCCGGTTCTTCTCCTGCGTCTCCGTCTTCTTGAGCTGGTCGGCGTCGAAGCCCTCGACGCCCTGCAGCAACGCGTTATGCGTCTTCTCCTGCTGCACGTCTGCAGAACATGCGCACAGGACGGTCACCGGGGCCCATCCGGCACCGCCACGCCACCAGCGTCCCGCATGCACGGCACGACTGCTCAAGCTAGCCAGGCAGAGCAGGCGGCCACGACAGCGGCCCATCAGTTCAGGCGAAGACGACCGTGGGGCGTCCGACCGCCTCGCACAGGCGAGAAGTGCAGGGGAAGCAGGCGCGCCGTTTGGCATACACTACAGCCCAGAGCGGGAGAGAGACAGAGAGAGACAGAGAGATCGACTACACGGCGTGCTGCTGCATCGAAATGGCACGGGTCCGCCGGCCGACCCGAAGGAGCGCAGCCCCGCCCCGCGGCGGCTGACCCGTAGCGCGGCCCCCGCCGCCCCACACGACAGCGGGGAGTTCAAGGCCGCCGGCCGGTCCGGCGGGACACCAGCCGCCGTCCGCTCGGCGTCAACTGCGCAGCGGCCCGACCGGCCGTGCCGCCGACACCCGAAACAAGCTCGGGAACGGAGCTCCAATCACGGTACGTCACTCGGCGGGCGCGGCGCGTGCGCTGGGAATGACTCGGGGCAGAACATAACGTGACGCTACCGTCATGCAAGTCCAGCGGGGCACAGGTGGCGCCGGCACACTACATTATTAATCCCCTCGGTCGACGCGTTTTTGTGCGCCGCTTAAAACCAATCGCCCCGGAGGCGTCGATGCTTTTTAGCCGGTGTTTTGCGACTACCCACATTTGGAAGGGGACAAAAACGCTCTGGCGCTCAGCCGACTGCGGCCGTGTCGACAGCAGCGTGCGCCGCACGGCATCCTGCAAAGCCGTGCACTGGCAGGGGTGCGGGGACTTGCAGCGCGCCTCCGCCGCAACCAGCAAAAAGCCGCTGCCACGCAGCTCTCGGGCCTGCGGGTCCGGGACTGGCGGCGAGAAAACGCAGCCGCACTCCTCACAGGACCCGACCGCGGCGGCCGTCTTACCCTCTTTGGTGGGCAGCACCACCTTCTCCTGCGTCTCGGTGTGCTTCAGCTTGTCGGGCGTGAAGCCCTCCAGCTCAGACTTGACGTCGGGCGCCACCTTCGGCAGGTCCTTCAGGGTGGGGCTGGTAGGCGCGGCCATCTTGGACAGTTCTGGAACAGATCGGCGGCGGTGAGGGAGGCGCCGTGAGGGGCGGCGGTGAGCGAGGCAGCCGGAGAGGCGGCAGTAAGGGCGGCGCCGGAAGGGGTGGCGGTGAGTGGGGCAGCCGGAGAGGCGGCAGTAAGGGCGGCGCCGGAAGGGGTGGCGGTGAGTGAGGCAGCCGGAGAGGCGGCAGTAATGGGGGCACGGGGAGGGATGGCGGTAAGAAAGGCACTGGGAACGAGGGGCGACGTTCGGCACGGCTGGAGCTGGGGCCGACCGGGGGTCCGCACTCCCACACAACCGACCAAACGCAAATTGCGAGATCATGCACGTAGTTAACACGCACTCGAAGGTCATGTGGTTCGAGCCCTAGTTGTCGTAATTTCGCTTTTGATGGGCAGTTGCTTATTTTTCTTTCGTTGGTTGCCCCTGCAGAGTCATGTCAAAGGTGGGGCAAAATAAAACAACAACATTAACTACTGGAGGCTGATTTGAAAAGCCAATAATTGTGCATTAACCAAGAAACCGTTTCGGGGAAGAACCTCAAAACGCATACACAAAGGGCAAGCACAGACACAATTCCCCATGACTGTATTAAATCACGCTGGGACTACACACAGCGGATCACTCCACGCCACCGCGAGCACGCGTTCCCCTGTCTCCAGCCGTGAGCCCTGAAACAGGCTGCACAACGTGCCGGTCCCGCCACCTCCAAGCGGTGACAAAAACCGCGCGGCCCCCATTGTGCGGGCCTGATCGGCGCCCATCTGTCGCCGCCGCCGCCGCCGCCGCCCGCGCCGGGCCCGTCTCACCGCGGCGGAGATCAGCTGATGCCAGCTGTCGTCTGACCGCGCCGCGCCGCCGCCGCAGGTCATCGACTCGGCGGGGCGCAGCGCTCGCCGCCAATCGCGACAGACGCGCCGCGAACGGGGCGTCTGGCGGGGCGGGGGTGGAGACAGACTGGAGGGGTGAGAGGCGCGGTGGGGCGGCGGCGGAGCGGGCCGATGACGGAGCGAGCCGGCGCCAGGTGCAAGGCCATGCACCCCGAAATGGTTCGATCGGTCAACAGCCAAGGCCAGGATAGCTACGCTGCATTTTGCGCCGGCGGCTGAACAAACCATCCAACGTGTGACGTGGACAAACTCAGACGCAACCGAGCCCATCTTAAGGGATTAGAACAGCCTTGCACAGGGCGTCCCAGAATGGTTGTCAGCCCCTGACTTACATCCGCGCCATATGGCCAACGAATCTCACGGCGGAGTTTGACCTGAACCGACCGCCAGGCGTTCACCGAAACCTCTGGAGAAGCGGGCGTCTCGCGGTGGGCCGCTGAACCCAGGCCGCCGCGGTTCTCATGAGTAGTCTATAATGGGGCGCATTGCCTGACGAGAGTCGCTTCACGCTATTCGGTCGAGGCATTTACGCTGTCCAGGGATTTCGCTTGGCCGCTGGGGGCGAAAATACACGATTCCACCCGCCGTGCCACCGGCCTAGCCACCATTTTACGACACGTGAAACGGTTAAGTTATTAGTGTCACAAACCGTTACGGGACACGGACAGCACCGTGGCTGGCTGGACCGAGGGACGGGAACCGCTGTGACATTACGAAGCCCGTTGCCGCTGGCCGCTTAGTCCAAGCTACCCGCAAGCTGCAGCAGCCAGAAGGCAACCGATGATAGTGGGGATGCGGCTGTTCTGTTATCGTTTATCGTCGTACCACCGCGTTACCACCCGCCTGCCCCGTCAAGTGCACCGAGATGGAAGCGGTATGTACACCGAGGCGACGTCTTCAGACCTCTCCCTCCCCCGTGGCGTCTACGGACCTCTCCCTCTCCCAGCGGCGTCTACAGGCCTCTCTCTCTCTCCCGGCGGCGTCTCCAGACCTCTCCCTCCCTCGGCGGCGTCTACAGGCCTCTCCCTCCCTCGGCGGCGTCTGCAGACCCCTCCCTCTCCCAGCGGTGTCTACAGACCTCTCCCTCTCCCAGCGGCGTCTACAGGCCTCTCCCTCTCCCAGCGGCGCCTACAGGCCTCTCCCTCTCCCGGCGGCGTCTCCAGACCTCTCCCTCCCCCGGCGGCGTCTCCAGACCTCTCCCTCCCTCGGCGGCGCCTCCAGACCTCTCCCTCCCTCGGCGGCGTCTCCAGACCTCTCCCTTCCTCGGCGGCGTCTACAGACCTCTCCCTCCCTCAGCGGCGTCTACAGACCTCTCCCTCTCCCGGACCTCGGGCCCCACTACGGTCGGCCGGCCCGCTCCGGTCCCAAGTCCAGCGTGTATGCCGAGCACGTTCGGCAGGGCGCCACTCCCGCAAGATCTCCCACCACGGCTGATCGGCGGTCACCGCCGTCCCTCCCCTCCCCTCCCAGCGCGGGCCGCACGGGCACAAAAACTGCGCCGTGGGGGCCTTTGCACGCCGAGCTGGTGCGCAGCGGCGGCGCACGAGCAAGGTCCGGCCACCATACAAGGTCTGGTCCGGTCGCCCTGCCCGGGGAGCGGTCTGCGCCAGCAGGCGCCCTCCCCAAGATGCTGCTTACGTCGTCACAGATAGCTACGGCGTGGATGATCCCTGACTGCGTCTAAACAGACACGCGTGTGATACGCCCGTTAGCACGCCTGACGACGGTACTTGTGACGTCATACGCTAGAAGGCAGCATCCGACAATGAAAAACGATTTTCAGGTTTGCACCCACGTCGGGACCTGACGGTCATCATATCATGCCCGGCTTCCACGTCAGAAGCCTCGACATCAGACCTGGTGACGTCATCATGCCTGACGTCTGTAACTGGTGAGGATCCCACATCACAAAAGACTGCGTATCAACCCCGGCCGCCATGCTGCGGTAGCTGCTGTATCAGGGCCAGCAAGCCGAGCCTGCTTACCACATCAGGCCCGGTTGTCGTTTCGGGCCGCGCTGCTATCTCCAGCCCGGCTACCATTTTAGGCTCGGCCACCATATCAGGCCGTGCCACTATATCGGGCTCGGTTGCCATGTTCGGCCGGGCCGCTTACCGCCGTCAGTCGGAAAGGGCTCGGCCGGAAGTCAGCGCGGGCGCCGTGAGCCGCCAGCCGACTACGGCGCGGCGGCTGTGGCGCTCGGCCGCGGCGGGAGACGCCGCGGCGGCCTCACCCAGCACGCCCGGCGGCCTGGCGCCGGCCGCAGCACAATGGAGCGGGCGGCGCGCCGGCCGGTGTCCGTTTTTGTGCCCGATCTGGCCCCGCGTGTTGTCCCGTGGGCACGTCGCCCACCAGCTCCGCCTCGGCCCGCTCGCCGAGCCACTCGTGTGACGTGGCGGGACCCCTCGGGACGCCTCACGTGGCGGTCCCGCCCCGCCCCGCACGGAAGCCCAGGGCCGCTGGCGTACGCCCAGACGGCCAGCGCCGGGCGCCGCCGTAATTGGAGATATCGTACGGGACCGACGGAGCAGGACCCGATCGGCTGCCTTTTACGGCCGGCGGATGCCAGCATTTTGGGCGGTGTTCGCCGCGTGCCATGAGTCACTACGGAGGTCCGTCCATCCACGGTAGACACGCGCCACGACGGGGCGGGAAGCGAACCGCCGCTGGCGCCCGGACACCTGGCGCCCGAACACCGCCTGACAGTCGCAGTTTGGCGCCATCATTAATACGCGCCGCCCGTCAGCGGCTGTCATCAGCAGCGCCCCAGACCCCGTTTAGCAGCAGCTCCGTTCCGCACATCAGCGTTTCTTTGGGTCTGGGCGCGACGCCACATGCCTTCTGCCGGGCACGAGCCGAGCCTGCCGTCGTCTGCCCGCTGGAGGCGGTCGTCTGCGTCTGCCGGCAGCTGCAGCTGACGCCTGCGACCGCGGCCGGTTCGGCAGCTGTCGCCGGCGTCACTCCCTCGCCGCCGGCGAGCCGGCTGAGCTGGCTGTCGGCGAGGCGCGCGCCGGCGCCGGCCGACAGCAGATGGACGGCGCCGGCCGACCGGGGACGGGCGGCGCCGCCTGACAGAGAACGGGAGGCGCCGGCAGACAGAGCACGGCCGGCGCTGCCCGATAGAGAACGGGAGGCGCTGGCCGACAGAGTGCAAGAGGCGTTGCCCGACAGAGAACGGGAGGCGCTGGCCGACAGAGTGCAGGAGGCGCTGGCCGACAGAGAACGGGAGGCGCCGGAAGACAGAGGACGGGCGGCAAGGCGAGTAGAGCGCGGCGACGATGGGCGAGACGGAGTAGGGAGCGATAGCATGGGAGGAGAAAAGCAGAGGGATAAAAGAGGAAAATAAAATAAAGGGATATAGGAGAAAGATAACAGAGGGACGGCAATGAAGACGCTACGCATGCCTATAGTCGACAAAAATGGAAGACGGCAGAAACAGTGGGTACTGTTGATCACAAATTTAGGAAGCATCGCCTGCTCAGCATCTTCAGCGCCCATGAAACGACGGATAAGGGCGATACTGCAAGCAGGCTGATACCGATCAACACGCGGGGGCCGATACCACCGCGTGGGAACGGGGCGACACTGGCTCACTCTGGCATCAGACCAGAGCCGCGGGAGAGCGCTGAACTCGACCCTGCTCACGCCGGCGCGTCTCAGAACTCTCGCAGTGCCATCGATCATACCCCTTCATACCTGCCTGCGCTCAGTATTCATGGTTTCATTCAACCATGAATACCAACTGGCGGGGAAAACGAGGGGGAAACAAGTCGGTCGTCACGTGACGATCCGTGCGGGCCCCGTGACGCACTGTCTCTCGCCGGCTGGCCTGCTCTCGTCCCAATTACGGGGAGGTCAGGGTTGTTGGCAACAACGGGCACGAAAACAGCACCGATATGAGCTTCGATGCTGCCGCCTGTGAGCTCTCACCACCGCAGACCTGGGGACTGTATGGACTACTCGATGAGGATGAACCCGAAGCGCTCAGCCCGCCGACCTGTCATCTCAAGGGGGGATGAAGGCTGCTACAGATGACCCGGATCAGTCAAGCCAGCACGTGCACGCAGGCCTGGCCGGGGTGCCCTGACATCAAACGGAGCGCGGTCTGTCTTAAGACC